TAATCTCTTCCATACCAGCGTGGTTGAGACGATTGTGCAGCAAGCCCATGGCAGCACTCTTCGAGACTGTCTTCGTTTTCTCAACACCCAGCACCATGTGCTGTTGCACCTTCGCCTTCGGCCCAGTGGCCTGCAGCGTCCACATCCGGTATAATCCATCGAAAAGCTCAAACTTCAGCTTCATTCGAGGCTTAGTTAACCACAGCGTCTTCTTATCTCTCGAAAAGGTCATCGCATAGCCAGCCTCAATCAACATATAGCTCATAGAAATCAAGTTGCATCGTGCATTTGGCGTATAATACGACCGCTCCAGCAAGCGCGGCTCATACTCGCCCGTCAGCTCGTTACGCACTGTCAGATGTACGGCTCTGCACGCTACGTTCATCTCGGTGCTTCCGTTGAGCATGGTCAGGTTGTGGGTTGTGTCAGCATCCATATGCACGTACGACAACAAATCACAACAAACGTTAGCTTGACTGCCAGAGTCAAGTACCCACTCGAGAGTGGTACAATCTTTTCGATACACCTCCAATTTGGAGCTTACTGTGTACATCTGTACCTCGGTCGACACATTCACGTCGCGACCCGCACCCAATGGCGCGTCCGTCTCGGTGTTTACTGCAGCAGCATTTCCACTGACAGCTGTAGCTCGTGGTCCAGACCCAGCTTCACTAGTACGCACTCCATCGTCAAGTTCATCACCACCACCAGTATCACTCCCACTAGCGACAGTAGCTTGGGCTGTAGACCCAGCGCACCCAACTTCACCGGCGTTGCGCGGCGTCAACATGACGTTCAGCGTCTCCACGTCACCATCGCGGCGTGCTCCAGTCGTATCATATGTAGCCGGTTGTGGGCAGTCCCGCACGAAGTGCTTGTCAGAACCACAGCGGAAGCAAACCGACTTCTTTTTCTTCTTCTTAGACCGCGTAGATGACGAACTTGGGCTCCGTGGTCTTGAAATTCCACGTCCTGCGCGTCCTCGAGCTTGTCTATCTCCATTGTTGAGCTCGGTGACATTGTAGACTTCTCGACTCCCAAGTCCTTGGCTTCCACCACGTTGATCGCTGCCTCGGCGATCAGCGCCAGACATGTTATCAGCAATCAGCTCTGCGTTCTCGAGACGCGCAGTCGCGCCACGCAGCTCAGGCTTCGCACGAGTAGCGCGTTTGCGCTCACCATGTTCACGCGCAAGTCCTGGGTACACCTCCACAGCATTGCTCAGCGTCACGTCGGCCAGGTCCTTGTCGTCCATGGACTCACCGTTGTCATACAGAGCGCGACGAAGCCGCAGCAAGTCCGAAATGTAGACTGCAACCTTCTCGTTTGGCTGCATATACCTGTTGTAGATGTCCCGGAGAATGTATACGGTGTTCAGGCCGCCACCCGAACCAAACTCCGTGCGCAACGCACTCCACAGTTGCGTGGGATCACCAGAGCGAACCTCCGCCTGGAAGCGCTGCAGCACCTCCCACGTGATATGCTCCACGAGCATGTGATGCGCCTTCAGCCTCCTCTCCTTGAAGCAGTAGCGCCAGTCACGCTGTTCTTGGCGTGTGTCCGGGGGCACGTCATCCTCCCGCTCGTCGCCCAGCACGATGCGGTTGTAGTTCAGCGTAAGCATAGCCGTCTGAATACGCAACGACCACTCCTCATAGTTCGCTGTACCTTGGAGCTTGATGTCCAGCTTAAAGGACGCCACAGCCATGAGCCTCGTCATCCTGAAGCCGTCGCTCTCGCTTACTCGGATATCTTGTTCTCCACGAGGGGGGGGGGGGGGTTCCAACTCGTCCCTCCAGTTCCAGCGTCTCGTCGGAATCAGCATCTTCTGCCCGTACAGATAAACGTCCAATGGGGTTCCCAGATTGGGCTCATAACCTGAACCGCGATGACTCTTATTAGGGAACACAGAAGTCATTGCAGTGCTTATTAGGTATTAACAGGAAACACGAAGCCAATGCGTTCGTTGGGATAGCCCAACGGGAATAGCTGTTGGGCAGACAACTCCAATAGAGAACTAAGACCCAACAGCGACAACCCTCTTGTATATTAGGCCCTAGACGGCTAGCAGCCAACCACCTAAAGCAACAGAGCCATTGGCTCACGTGTGAGGTGCACACCAGATTGTGCACTGCACATAACACCTGCTCACACCTTCAGGGAAGAGGATGAAGACCTCGACGTTCTTTTTACCGCGAAGGCCGCAGATGGGGGAGCTGCCCGTGTCGCCTGAGGTGGCGCCCACAACCGTAATCTGTTATTTTTAACATATTTTAGTTCAAAAAATCAATGCATTCTGACCGTGTAGCCATTACATTTTACTGAATTTTTACAAGCCTGTATCCATCTCCATAAACCTGATTTGCTGCCCTTTCGGGCTAAATTTGACCGGAAGTCGACGTTAATCAGCCATAGCGTCAAGCGTCGCGATGGTACACGCTGTGAAGCCACGATCATAAAACGCTCCTAAAAAATCCTTGGATCGCGAAATCCTTTGGTGGCTGATACAAAGTGACCCTTCATATAGAGCATAAAACTGGCTCCTCTTTTTAGTGACTGTTAATATCTTCGCGAGAGGTCACTACCGCGCTTTTCTATTTTTTCTCTCTGTTAGTTCGCATCAACGGTTCTTATACACAAGTATTTTTCGCCAGAATGGTCCCTAGTCGGTTTGATTGTAATTATCTACCCTAGCCCTCTTCCTAATACTTCGTAAATCCTCCTGGAAAAATACTCTCTAAATAAGAGAACGTTACATTATAGGGGGGCTTTGCCCCAATGATGGGAGATGATTTTAAGCAAATAAAATATCAATATCATCCAGGTAATCCGAAAAAAATAAATATATTTATGATTTCATAAGAAATAGTTGAAAAGACCATGCCATAATCGCTGAGGACGCTATTAATGCTTCTAGTCGCCACACTATTGACTTCCGTATCCTAATATTGATCTGTTTGCCTCGCAGTCAGGGCCATTAAGATCATGATCATAACTTGGTTACTTTGTTATCGAGTGTCTGGAGCACTGTCTGACGGATTAAATCGTCGCCATTTTTGCCGCTGATAACCATCGGAACGGCATGCGCAAGGCCCGTTTCCAGGCGAATTTTTTTCTGTTGGTAGTCGAAAGATCTTTTTTCCGCTAGGAAATCTGCTGCGACCGCTTCAGCTTCGGCATCCGCTAAGATTATTGTGGCCTCGCGTTCGGCAGCTTTAACCATGGCGTCACTTTTGATCTTGGCAGCAGCGATATACTGCGCGTAATTCTGCTTTAGATTTGCGAGATCAACGGCAGGTTGTGTCTGAGCTCGTACGGAAGCGGCGGTAGCTGTCGCCACGGCGTCAATCTTGAATCCCTCAGCCTCCTTTATTTTGTTGGCGTATTCTGCTTTGTGCTGCGCGATCGTCATCTGGGCCTTTGCTTCAGCAGTCGTTCTCATCTCGTTGCGAATGATATTTGCGCGAGCTTTGGCGGCCAGCAAGTCTGGAACGGCCCGTTCATTCTCTTTTTGTACTGCAGTGAGTTTTTGAGTTTCCTCATTTATCAAGATGCGAAGTTGATTTTCATGATTCTTTTCTTGTTCCTCCATTCGGGTCTTGAAGGCAGTGGTTCCTTCCAGTGTTGAAGATAATGATGACGGGAGCTCGACGTTCGTAACCTTGACGTTGTGGATGAAAACACCAAATTGCGCCAGCTTATTGTTGAGGTCCGTCTTCATCCCCATAGCAAAATCTTCACGTAAATCGTGAACTTGGTCGTATCGGACCGAATTCACAAGCCCACGGATGGCTTCCTCCGTCAGACTGAAAAGAAGTTCATCCAACCGATGGGCACCTAAAGTGTAGACGAACTTGACGGCATCGTCCTCCGTTGGACCGATCTGGAAGCTGATAGATATGTCGATGTCGACCATCACGTTGTCCGCGGTGGGGCAGTCTCGGACGGGATTTGAGTAAGCGACTGCTTGTTTGGTGACAATGTGCGAGACACGATTCCACGCCGGCCAAAACACCTTCAGACCAGGATTTATCATTCCGGCGTGAGTATTCCAAGTCTGCTGTAACACCCAGACTCCAGATGGAATTTGCTGCATGAAAGTAAAGAAGTTTGGGTACGATGGAATGAGAACGAGCGGAATGCGGCCATCGACTACTTTTGCATTGAAATGACCCATGGCGTCCATCGGTCGGTTAACATCGAGCTGCACGAGTCGGTTGTATCGAGCAGGTTTCTCCGCTGTCATGTTAGGCACATTTCCTTTGGTGAGCTTTTCTGGTGTGAGAGGTGAGTAGATATTTCTTTTCGGTATTAGTGTGCGATTGTACACATGCGATTGACCGAAGGTGTTGCACTGAGATCCATTAAAAAAATAATAAATGCTTCATTATCTATTCGCGAACAACCCACGAAGATAACTCCATGGCTGAAGAGCAGGACATCCGTGTGGGCGACGGTCATCAAACGCGATTGCTGTACACCGAAACTAGCTCGGTCGCAAATGCTAACCGGTTGTTTGGTGCATGCCACAATGGCAACACGGTAATCATGATCAACCCTCGGCCAAGTATCTTTCGGCCATACATCCGCGTACCGGAAGGTATGTACGCTCTTGTGCAGAACCAAGGGCGTGATATGGACTACACGAAAGTTGGTGTGAAAAATCCTGTATGGCCTGCGGGGTTTCACTGGGCCGGACCGTGGACACAGGTTTCCCACCTCATCACGAAGCAATTCATTGTATTTGAGACGCCCATCAAAGGCTGCAAGACAGCAGATAACGTTACGGTTCGCATCGACATATGCCTCATCTTCCGCATCATGGGGGACATGTCAAAGGGGGAAGACCCAAACCTTGTACGGCGCTTTGTGTACGAACTCGGTCCTAACGGTCTGGAAGTACAGCTACGTGCCGCACAGGATGAAGCTGTACGAGCATTAGCTCGAAGTGTTCAGCACACGGAAGTGTACAGACTTCGTGACGGTACAATGCAGGAAAAATTCCACACCGGTAATCTCGCGACACTCAATCGTGAGGATTTCAATCCAGTACCAACAAAAGTGAACATATTTGATGAGTTGCCCAAAGAAGAAGTGATAAACCCCGACGCACCCAAGCCTCCTCTTCCTGGTCAGCAAACACCGTACTACGTTACGGAAGATATCAAGAAGAATCTCAACGCACAGTTCAACAACTACGGCGTGCAGATCACTAGTGTGGCCATCACCAACGTGAAACTTCCACCGACGTTCGTGGAGCAGATGCAGAGTCGTACAACACACTTGAGTACGATTAAGGAACAGAACATGAAGCAGATGAACGCCATGCAATTGTTATCGTACAAGGAGGAGATCGACACGACCAAACTAGCGAGAAAAATGATGTTGATGGAGGAAGAGCAAACCGGAAAAGCCAAATGTGCAGAGATTCAGAAAGAGATCGACATGGTTGATACAGACACCCGCGTCATCCAGGAGCAAATTGCGCAGGAGACTCGTGTACAGTGCAACAAGATCGCTGCCGAAGCCTCGTTAGCTATCGAGAAGATCCACGCTGATACGAAGCGCATTTCGAGTGAGATCGCGTTCAGGTCCGACACGGATATCCGTCTCGTTCAAGCTGAAGAGGAAGCGTGCAAAATGCAACTACAAGCTGAGATCGAGGAGCTAACCAGTGGTGGAGAGGCGAAAGCAAAGGAGATCGTAGCTCGTGCTGAGGGATCAGCTGCGAAGAAGTTGGAAAAATATCGCGCACATCAGCTTGATATGCAGCGCTTAGAGGTGCTCGACTCTCTGTCGCAGAATCCGAAGACAGTAGTCACCGGCAATGCGTCTAACAGTCTGCTAGCTGAAATGATGGTGGCGAACCAGCACGGCAAAATCATGTTAAACATAGGTGAGGGAGGCTTCAAAGGACTAACGCAGGCTTCTTAACAAAGGAATTGGTTTTCCTAGAACGAAGAGGCTAAAAGAATAATTCAAACTACTACAGTCGAAGAAAGCACGAAGTGAGCGCAACATTATTTCATTTGTTCATGTCTGAAAGGATCTTTTCACAAAGTACTGCTGCGTTACTGCGTCTGGAGAGAACAATATGTTCTTGTGCGAGATCAAGTGGTGTAAGGTTATTGTTGTTTCGCATCTTGACGCTAAAGCCACGCTCGAGTAGCCACTCACAAGAGACAGGTTGACCATTTGCTGCAGCTTTGTGTAGAAGAGTGTCACCTTTCAGATCAACAGCGTCCAAATTGGCATGACATTGTGTCAGATGCTCAAGCAAGTGAACGTGACCCTCACGAGCGGCCCAATGTGCCGCTGTCCAACCCATATATCCTGGAGTATCAAGACGCACATGACAATGGGTCGCCCGAGTGCAGGCTCGTTGAAATGACCGCAGGTCCCCATTTTTGGCACATTCAATTAGCCGTTCAACAAGATCCGAGTCACTGGAGGAAATACTGTCATCTTGCTGAGGTAGTACGGGTCCGCCAGTGAGAGAAATCTCGATTAAATCCGTCTGAACAATGGCATCGTCTTTCTGATTGAACTCATATTGATTTTGTCTAGCCAGCATTCGTCGCCTGTGGTGTACGCGCTTAGAACGAGTGATCGATTCCGTACAGTGCTCGGTTACCTTGGACTTCAATTGCTGGTTATTGCCACTACCACTTTTACAGATGATCGTACGCCGATGTTCCAACACCATGTCGATCTGCTCGAGCAGCCTGTGAATCTGCTATGACGAGAAATCCCACCCCAGCAATGGATCCTTCACGCGCCACTAATAATACTACCAACGACATAAGGTCCACACTGTTCTGCTGTGAGCCAGGAAGGATTTAGAAGTTCTAAAGAGGGATTTGTACGCTGGGTCTGCTCAGTCGCATGCCACGGTGCTAGCATACTATTATTTATGCTTGTTTTGGATCACCGTTTGTACACTCTGTAGGTGCCCTGTACAATTTTCTTGAGCTGTTCGTAGGAAGCAGTCACCACTTGCTCGTGGTCGGGTGGCTGGGTAGAGCTGTCGCCACCATCTTCCTTTTGCATTGCTCCTTTCCTTCGGCAAGCCCATTCAACCAAAGGGTTCATTGAATCGACTTTCAGTCTGCTTCGCAGAATTTTACCCACATATTTGCAGGTTGCTCGCGAAGTGCCGAGGCCTAGTAGCTGTCGACATAGCGCAAACGCGTCGCCATTGGTGACTTCGATGCACGATTCATGCCACGCAATCTCCACTATAAGCGGATTTTTCTCAGCATCGAGAGAAGCAGCATTTAGGGCCAAGTCAGGCCATGCTTCTCCTGCAGCTTCACTGGTTCGTTCACAAAGTCCCGAACGTATTAAATCGCGCTCTGACTCATTTGCTAGCAATGCGATAGCCAAAGGCAGTGGCAGCTTCGAATAACGCACATTTTCACCACTTGCAGTGCGTTGGGGTGTACTGAGGTCTTGAAGATTTCTTGAGCGAGTGGTTCTCGATGATCCTGTGGCTAATCGAGCCAAAGAGCGGATCTGGCCATTATGTTCATGCGGGTATGCAAACAGCAATTCGTTTGGAGCTACAGAGAGCGTGAAGCCTACAGTGTCCGAAGGGGAGAAAACTCCACCGTGCTTATCTTGAAGTGACACGGCCGAAATGCTGCCACGGTCTGTTGCGAAGGACTCGTTGTACCGCCGCACGATTTCTCGGCACAGATAGTCAACCTTTTCTCGTGGATTGATGGGTACGCATAGCCGACATTCACCAATTTGAACAAGCACACGAACAACATCAGGGAGAGCAGCTAGAGTGGCTTCACTGAGTTCGTTTTGCCTTGTCTCATCGGGAGCCAACGATACAGCTTTAATTTCAAAGTCTGGCTCCATTTGTGGCGATGGTGGTTTGTCCTTGGATGAAGGTTCGGAAGCAGCATTAGGCTGTACTTCTCGGAGCTCTTGTGACTTCTTAGGCGATGGGCTTTCCGGTTCACGTCGACTTGTTTCAGATACTGTGACTTTATACGTTGCGATTTCCACCATAGGAGCGGTTGATTCTACAGACGATCTCCGTTTAATACTAGGCGTCGGCAAGAGGGTGCGATTTATCGGACCCATCAATTTGTTGATGCCGCCTCGGATGCTCTCTGATGGTCGACGTGTTCGGTTTAGTGGGCTCATCAGCTTAGTAAATCCATCGCGAATTTCTCCGGCCAAATCAGTGTCCGGGCCGAGAACCATGATCGGACTTGGAATTCCCAAACTTGCTTTAGGAGAAGTGAGCATTGGTGAGTTACTGTTGTTTCCACCGCCCAGGTCATTAACTGATGCAGTGGTTGATGTTGGATTTACCGGACTATCGAAATCTCGAGAAGACTGTGGGTTTGAAGCGGTTTGAGCATGTTTTACTACTCCAGGCTCGTAATCATCTACTTTAAAGCGTTGCTCCTGCTGTCGAACGAGCTGCTTTCGTCGCACCATGCGTTGGATGCACCGACTAGCATCTTCTCGTTCTAGTTCAGGCGGGGTAATAGGAGTAGCTTTAGTCGCTGTTTTCTCATCTTCCTCGCTAGTTGCTGCACATGAACCTGTCTCAAAATCTTCCGTCGGGGTGATGACACATTCCTCTGGCTCCGTTTCGTTCGTGGAAGCGTCCATCACAACATTTTGGACTTTGGTTTCATTTCGAGTAGATAATTCTGTGTTATACAAAGGAACAAGATGTTCGGCATTGGTACGAGTCACAGGGGTTTGACGATGTACAAACTTCATCGTCTGTGAATTTATGATCGTCTTGAAATCCAACGAGCTCTGAGTGCACAGAAATCCCAACTGATTGTCAAAAACCACAATAGCTTGCTTCAACAACGACTTTGCACGCGCCTCTGCAGCGCCTTCATTTTGTAATGTAAACTCGATAGCTCGAATTTGCAATACTCCAAGAAATAGTGTCGTTATAAGTGAACTGTTCTTGCTTGATGAGGAGCCCCCGATATGTTCGATAACTTTTCGAGTGAGTTTAAAGAGAACGTCATCCAACTGACACCGGATTTTGTCCATGTTTACATGAAAACTGAGTTGAGGTTGAGAGGAAGAACAAACGCGACTGCCATCCGAAAAACTCGACCGCACCTGAATCCTGTCAGTTGTCACGAAACATTCTTGCGCTGATATGGTACAGTGAGCGATATCTAGGAAAAGACGAGCAGGTAAGCGATAACCATGAAGAATTCCTTGACTGGTATTTTGGTGGTTCGTCGTTCCCTTGCTTCTCAAGACGCAACCGCATCCTTGTAAGGAGCACTCAAGCATTTGGAGCGCTAACGGTAGTGCTGGAACAAATATTGTATCACCCACGAACTCGTTTGACTCAGTAGTCAGACGCAAATTTGAAAGTTTCGTAGTCACATCACGCCCTGTAATCTCTTGACCTTCTCGTACATCAAATAATTTCAGCAGAATTAGTACCAACCGACTACCGGTCTGCATCTCCAGCTCATTCACATGTAAAACAACGTGCACTTTTGGCGGTCCACTTACGTGTAAATTCTCCCTCATATTTTCTTTAATCTCCAAACTCCCAATTTCAGCACTTGAAGATTCTGAAAAACTGTTTCTTCGACTCCCTTGTCTAGTCGATGGCAATGATTTGCTGCCATTACGAGGTGGACAAACGTGAACATCTATCATATCTAAGCTGATCTGCTGGTGACACGTTCCGCATCGGATCACGATAACCTGCTCCTCGTTCACAAATTGATACATTTCTGTTAACACCGTAGCCAAGTCATCATCGATTCGACAAAGAACGCTTTGAACCCACCACTTCACTGAAAGTGAAGTGAGACGCTCTTCCAGGTGGAAAACCTCTCGGTCAGGCTTCAACCGAAACACTACATACCCTCGGAATCTCACTGCTAGCTCATGAAGACTCAGTTGTAGCTCACGAACACCGTGTCTATGGATAATTATACTGCCAGCGCCGCGATCTGCGATGAGGAATAATTCCTGTGGTCCTTCGGTGGGTGAAGTAAACTTTAGCTTCGCTTCGATCGTGCCGCGAAAAGTGATTTGTAACTCGATATTCGGCTGATCGATACCACTTACGCCAGCTCCAAGAGGCTCCCGATCAGCAGCCATACCATCTAGTGGCTCAGACAAAGAGCTTCTACCATTTAAAATCCAATTACAGAGCGTCGATGCAACAGTGTACACCTCCATGAACTCAGCAATTCCCAACTCCAATTTCACTGCGCCAAAATTCAATTCCACAAGCTGTGTTTGTCTCCTCCATGAGTCCGCAATCTCGTTTCTATGATAAAATCGCGTAACCCGTATAACTACAGATACTTTTGTCATTAAGCGAATCGTTTGCGACCCAGTTTTAGCAGTATCACCTGCAAAAATTACCCCAGCACTCAGCATAAAAGACATAGCCTTAAACCGAGTTTGCACCAAGTGGTCGGGTGAATACTCCACGCAAGTCGTGGGATCCTTTACATCCTGCCATAGCGCATCCGTTGTCCGTGCATTTAAATCGGCCAGAACAAACTCCACGCGAGAGACTCCCCCAATAAATATTTGCACTCGTAACTTGTCCACCACGAGCTTCGTTCGGTTATTCACGTCCCGTGCATATTCAAACATAGCAGCAGTAGACCCCAGCGGGTCAGGCTCCAGTAATGCCGCTTGCACTCGCTCCTCGGCTGCTCGCCGGATTTTACTACTGCATTCCCACATATTGTGCACTTGAACCAGCAACTCGTTCATATGGATCAAAACTGGTTTGTGCGCTGCCTCCTTATCCTTATCCGTCCAGGACGGCACGGCGATTGTGAGCTCGATGCAGTGCACGGTGGTCACCAGCAACGGCGACGGCAAATGTAGCACCGCAGCGACTCGATGTGGCTTCAAGTCTATTGAAGCGGGTAGTAAAACAGTTAAGTTAATCAAGCAATTGAGTTGTTCAACTTGGAGATATCTTACGAATATCGAGTAGAACGAGCTGTGTCTTGGTGTAAGCTTTGGTCATGAAGTCGCGCGGTAACATCTCGTCCTTGAAGTCGTCCACCCAGTAGCGCAGTTGCCTGCGTACGTAGTCCTTCATCATGCTGCTGGTCGCCATGGTCGAAATGGAACTGCCGACGAAGAGGCACTACCAAGGAATGGCTACTTTTAAATAAAAAATCAATTTCTTCGAAATTAATTTATTTCGTGGATTCCAAAAGTGAGCCATTTGTTCGTCACCATCTGTGTAGCTGTGCGCAGTCCTTGTATTCGATGCAGTGTCCCATTCGTCTCTTCCGCTGCCGCTGGAAGTCGCCACTGTTGATTTGGCTGCTTTACTGTGTGATTACAACTCGCGCAGAACCGGCGGAGTTGGCGCCGAGCCCGGAGCCGCCCGAGATGCACAGCGTGTCGACCGAGCAGGTCCTTATCCTGGCCGTGGACGCCCTGTTCCTCTTCGTTGGCATCGTCTACGGCTCAAGAGTATTAGCACCGAAGCCCATGACCTATTTGTCTGAGATTGCGTTCCCCATGGACGTACGTTGCAGTATTAGAATTGTAAATTATAGTCGCAATTGCAAAATACTTACTTGTATTGATGTTGGCTGTCAGTTCTGCGGGAAGATGGCGGCGTCGTTCACGCTATTCTTGCTGAATGGGCTGTGCTGGCTATACCAAGAGATTTTCTGCTCTTGGCTGCTGCTTCATCGACCGTTTGGCCAAGATCAGCAGAATGTTGTGGCAGTGATGGAGACATTGGTTTGGGTGAGTTATGCAGTGTTGTTCGGCGATCTAGGATGATTTTTGACAAAAATGTTGCTGCAGGGCACGTCGTCGAGCATTTTGTGGATGGAGTATCGGCGGGGGCTCACACCATCGATGTATTTGCGGTTGTTCTGGACCGTTAAATGGTTGGATGCCACATTTGTTTTGGTTGTGAACGGAACATTCAGTGGGATCTCAAATGAGAGCAAAGAGGACTCCTCTTCGTATGTGACCAGCATGGTGTTTGGTGGTGTGTGCTATGCTGCATCCGCTATCCTCGTGCTCTTCATGTTTGTGCGACCTACCACTGTCACCCCTGAATTTATCGCGTATTCAACCGAGGTGAACACGCCATCTGCTTATCTCAATTCGACGCACCATCAACCCCCTACCTCACTGTATGGATCCTTCAAGGACTGGGAACTTCTGGCGTATGTAAGTTCTTCACACGAATTATGTGTTTTTGGTATATACATTTCTAAGTGTCTATCTTATTATGCAGCCGTCGTCCTCCAAGAGTAGCGAAGATAAACCGATGCTTGACATCACGATCCCAGCCACCACGTCTTCAATTTGGGGTAACAGGCAATTCGTCTCCTTTAAGATCGTTGTGCAGACCGATGAAGATCACTGGAGTCTTCGTCGACCTTATAGTGACTTTGCCGCTCTTCACGATGAGGTAAGCATTTCAAAACTTGTTTGCCTCACGTGTTGAATTAATGGGTGTGATTGGTGTTAGCTTCCCGAGGAAGTTGGTGCAGACTGCCCCTTACCACCAGAGGAGTACGACGACAGAAAACTAATTTCATGGAAAGAACGTCCTCGATCTCTGAAGTCACGCCTTGAAAAATATCTTAAGCAGGTGTTGCATCACCCAAAGCTAGCACCGTACGCGTCTCAAGCTCTTTGCGAGTTTCTCGAGATGGTAAGTTTGCTGTGTAGTTTATTTTACTCATTGTTGTCTGGTGACGCCGTCGTATTCGATCAACAGGAATATGTCGAGGACATTGCATCTGTGCGCTCGTATCATACAAATTCGATAATATAAACTACATGTAAGTAAACGTAATGAAATTGGATTTGGGGGGAGACGGGAACCTGTGGCTAGCTACCATTCTCGTCGGAAAATGCGGCAACGAGTATAAGTGTAGTCGAGTATCCTGTTTTGACGGAATGGAGTACTTAAGTTGGTGGTGGCGATGCCGGTAGTAAACCCCTTAAAAAATCAATGATTGTCACCCAAGGCAAATTCGTCTATGAACAGAATGTGTCGAACCATCCTCACTAGCATCTACGACCGGCCAGATACCGTTGACGGGAAGGCAATCTCACAAGAATTCACCATCTTAGCGAAACGTAGCGAATTGAGCGTTTCGTCACGGTGCTCTCCTAGTGGTGAGAGATTGCAGATCATAAGCGTCTTGCTGTCTCCACCAAGCGAGGAGCTCAAAAAGTGGGTCAGCTTCGAGTCACGGAAAGGGACGTGTGTCGACTGCAAAGGTAGCAGTAGTTAGTTTACTTAAACGCAAACAAAAGCAAGTGTGCAGAACACACCTTTTTCGCGAGAGCACATATTACGTTGCCCAATGCCGACAGACTCTTGTTGATTGACGTCGCCTCCTTCAGAAGTTCCCTGTTGCTATCACTTCCCGACTTTGACAAACGTTCGGATCCCTGCAATGCGGTGTTGATTCAGTTTTCTCGGTTTTCGAGCAACAAAGAAAATGTAGATAACGGAAACGTACCGCCAAGTCGACAAGGTTGCTGACCCCTGTTCGCTGTTCCCCAGTTAGCGAATTCACGCCGTTCAATCTAATTAATTGATTCGTTAGTGCTGTACCACTGCTAGTCATAAGCAGTTTGCAATGACGCACCTAAATGTGATGACGCAATGGCTTCGAGAGGATCGGTCGTTCATTTTGGTGGATTTAGTAGACCTCCGGGACATTGCTCCCCGTAGTAAGCTCCACGCCTCCTGCTCGTCCTGAACCTTTTGGGTGACTGAATTCACCACAGCAATCTTGCCATCACTGTCCAGACGGAGATCGATCTTATCTGTGGACTGCAATATTTACATGGCAGTCAGCAATGAACAAAATTGTCGCGGTCGTAGTGAGGGGCTTACCTCAATAGGAGCGAGCAAATCACGAAGGGTTTCGTTGTAAATCTCGACCAATTCTAGACTAGCAGTAAATTCCCATCCGCTTGTCCGTAAATCTTCTATGCTCGCAAAGATGTGAGAAATCGCTCGACCAACGATTCCCATGTCTGGTGATGGCTCCATCAACTTGGAATTAGCTAACTCTTCCCTTCCCTGCATCGTATACGTTTTCCCAGAGCTACAAGCCGCGAAGTTTGCCAGTTAGAAACCAAAAGCTGCTTCAAATGACCAGCACATCACTTACCCGGTTTGTCCGTAGGCAAAAATGCACACGTTGTATCCGTCCAACGCAGACTGGATCAGCGCAGAAACCTCCAAGAAAACATCTTCTTGCGAACATTTGCTGTCAAAAACCAGATCGAAGTCGAAGTTGTACTTCTTGACAACGCTTCTCAATCCGTTCTGACCATACCCAACATGGGACTTTGGGTTCGCGCTAAGCTCGATCTGCCGCCGTTCGCTGCGGTAGTCGGGAAAAGCAAAGATCTGCACATTTGAATCAGTCACAAGCCACTCAAACAGAAGCAAAACATTAACAACACAATATGTACCTCTTCACTCCTTGAGCTTGCAAGTTCGTTCTGCAGAACCGGCCGGACTCGACAGAAAACGCGGATGTTTCCTTTCAGTTCCATCACCTATTCCAGCATCAACCGTTAGATACAGCTCCTATTTATCACTTCTGTACTTTCAGTCACCTTATTATGGAGGCTTCGTCGGACTGCTTCGGAATCAAACACTCTTTGCTCCAAGAAAGCAGCGCGCTCCTGGAATTGCATCTTCTCAGCTTGCATCTCTTCTTCTCTCTGGTCAAGCTTCTCCTCGAGTTCATCCACGCGTAATAAACAGCGTCGAAGCTTCTCCCTGGTTCCAGACAGATCGTTTTCTAATGTACGTATCCTTTCCTTCTTCTCGCTAAGCACACTTAATTGGGGTCGCAGCTCATTCAGTTCGGATTTCAGTTTCGCAATCTGAGTCTGAGCCTTGGTAGCAGCCAGTCGCTCGCTCGTCATCATCAATTGATGCTTCCTCTCGTTCTCTGCAGCCTGGTGTAGAGAAATCTTCAGAGTTTCGTTCTCCCTTCGCAGTCGCTCACATTCAGCAACAATTTTCGCCGACTTCTGGTCATCCTTCTTCACTGAAAAGAGCAATTCCTTCTTTTCCTGAGTCCATTGAGCGTGTAGCGCTGTCGTCTGCTGTTCAGCTCGATCAAGGCCGTCGGATAGTGTTGACCGTGCCGCCTCACACTTCTCGTACGATAGCTGCAGATCTTTCAGCTGTGTAGCCATTTTATCCTCGCGTTCAAGAGCTTCCCGTTTGTCACGTAAAGCAGCCTCCAACTTCAGCTCCATGTCACGAAACTCGCCGATAGATCGCATCGATTCACTCACATTGCTGGAGGTGAGGCCCTGTGATATTTTGAGCTCATTAATCACCTTTGCTGATCGATCTCGTTCTTCGTGGAGACTATTGATGAGTGTATCACGTTCATTCAGCTGCATCACGAGTCCAGTGACTTCTCGGCACAATGCTTGTATCTTTTTCTCCTGCTGGTAGCCCGCTGGGTCGTTCATATTCTACAACAAACCAAGAAGTTAGTACTTCACCAGAAACATTTTATGTCTGTGTGCATTACGTACTTGGTTATCGCTCATTGTGTTGATGATCTGCGTCTGAGTCCTGATGGTCGACCTCAAGTACTCGAGATCCGACTGTTTATCTTTCCGTTCGCGCTCTAATGCTGCTGCATGCTTCAGCAGCGCAACCGCGTGCTCGTACGTGTCTGTGTACCTCTGCATCACCAGAGCCACCATCAGCTACTCCGATTCCACACACTACAGCTCTTTTTACCCTCACCTTTTTGTAAAAATACGTCTTCTCCCCGTCAGATTTCGTGTTGAGCTCTCTCTCCTCCTCCTCTGGAATTCGACTCATCAAAAACTCCACGGACGCCGGTACGGGAGAGTCCGTTGCCTCCTCAGCGGGTTCGGTTTGTCTATAGCTCCCTGTCGGCTCTGTTCTGGAGCTCTGGAGCCTCGGTACCTTGTTTGTCTTCTTGGGACTACGATGCGGCGGCGAGAAGCTCATCGCGTACGATCTGGGCTCAATCGGTTCGGCACTCAGCTCGCTGCTGCGGTCACTGCTCTCCGTCTGGTTGTCCAGCACAAAGTCATCGAACACTTTGACCGGCCGCTGGCTTGGCCGCGGCACCGAGCACGGACCCGAAGCGCTGGCCACTGACGACGAGCCGGAGGAGCGCCGCACGCCCATGGAGCGCTGCATCCAGTCGCTCTTCTTCTCGTCGGGCGACGCGATGCCGGCGAAGTGGCGCAGCACGCGGCCACTGCCTGCCTGGTAGTCCGCGTCCATTGCGGTGTTTTTCCCGCTTTCCGAGGATTTTGACTGATAATCTGCAAAATTGAAACTTCCACAAACAAATAACTTGGATTCAGTAAGGACTCGTGAGGAGCTATTCCGAAAATGCTAATTTTTCATTTGTAGAAAAGATGAAAAAACAAGCAGGTTGACGTTCTCATAAGAATATTGTCCACCATTTCAAAAGTATCTGAACTCATATTGAAGTCTCCCATGTTCAGCCGGAGTCTTGGCGCTTCGTCACAATATAACTTGTCGCGCCCTACGAAAGATCTATCACTTGTCATTTGGCGAGATGGCTCGTAAGCGCAAAAAACGATAGCAACAACTACACAGTACACCGACGGACAGAATGCAACGGTCACTTTCCCGTTTGTGCAACAACAGGGCAATAGGAGTTGTCTCTTTTTTATGTAAGAATTAAAAACAGTTTTAGGCAAAATTAGGAGAAAACTGTATTTTGCACTAAAAGTTGGTTTTGAGAGCGAACATACGCGGCCATTATGGAGGCCGTGAGAGGCAGCGACTCGCGTCTCTTGTCTTTCATGAATACTATTAGCTCGTCCTTGAATGGGATGATCTCGGGG